GGCTCTCCAGAAACCGAAGGGACACCCTCACCCCCAGACGCAGCACCCCCAGACTCCGCACCAGCACCCCCAGACTCCGCACCAGCACCCCCAGACTCCGCACGACCAGTACCAGCCCCCGGAAGACAAGAGTCCTCTGCAACCCGCGGCTCAGCTCCAACTCCAGCACCCCCAGAACCAGAGACCTGTACAGGGACAGTCGCAGGACCAACCTCTCGAGAGGGAGCACCTGCAGGAGGCGGCGAGGAAGACTGTGGGGAGGGAGGCTGTACAGGGGGGGCTACCGAAGGGGGAGGGCTAGCCTGAGACACACCAGACGGGGCTGGACCAGGGGGGGGAGGCTGTACCGGGGGAGCAGGCGGGGGAGCGGCGGTCAGGAAGAGAGGGGGGGGAGGGACCGGGAGACCTCGACTGGGGTACCTGACGTAGTAGGGGGTGGACTCCTCGAAACGGACGTCACGGGAGTCAAAGAACCGGTGAGAGGGAGGGTGGTAAAAGGTGAAGTCAGAGGAGTCCTCAGGGAAACCAAGGAAGACACAAGGAACGGCGCGAGGCGAGAGCTTGTCCGCGGAGGTGTCGCGGACAAGAGCCAAGCACCCCCAGACACGAAACCTCGACGCGACACCAGGGGACCCTGTCCAAAGACTGGTCGGTGAAGCCTCCGGCCGAGAGACGCGTGGCCAGAGGTTCAGCTGGTGCGCGGCGTACCTGACCGCGTATGGCCACAGGAAATGGGGGGCACGGGCGTGAGTCAAGGAGGTGCGGGCAATCTCCATGACCAGGCCTATGCGACGCTCAGCAACCCCATTCTGCTGTGGGGACTCCGGAAGCGTCCAGGACTGACGAATGCCCTGTTCGCGACAGAATCCAGCGAGAATGCCGGAGCGAAACTCGCCCCCGCGGTCGGAGTGGAGACAGCTGACACGACGACCACGAGTGTCCTGGGTGGTAAGCAACCACCTGATCAGCGTAGAAGTCACCTCAGACTTCCTCGCCAGAAGGAACACTGTGGTGTAGCGGGAGTAGTCGTCAACGACCACCAAAAAGAAACGCTCACGCTCAGGGCCAGGGCGAGGAGAGGGGCCCCAGACGTCCAAGTGCAGCGTCTCAAAAGGCTCGGTGGCCGGACGAAGGGAGGAGGAGTGAGGGGTGGCGCGCAGCCTACCCTCGACGCAAGGACCGCACGGTGGTGCAAGGGACGGCGGCAGCGACGGCAAGACACGCGGGAGACCTAAGACAAGACGCTGACGAGACATAGCGCGAAGACGAGGAGGAGAAGGGTGCCCCAGCCGGTGGTGCCACAAAACGGTGGGGTGGGCAAGCGACCGACAGGAGCACGACGCAGCGACCGGACTAGACGGAGGAACCTGACAAGACACAGCTACCTGGGGGGACGGAGCAACCTGGTGAGACGCGAGGACTCGAACGGGGGGCAAAACAGGGGCCGGGGGCAGGAGGGGCGGCTGTGGCTGCGGCTGCGGCTGCTGCTGCTGCTGCTGTTGCGGCTGCTGCTGCTGCTGCAGTCGCTGCTGAGCGCGCGGGCCAGTGTGAAGAGTGTAGAGACCGGAGCCCGGCTCAGCAGCAAAAGTGGCGAGGGGCTGGTAAGAGTCCCCGTCAACACACACCGCAGTCTCTCCAGAAGGCTCAAACCACACACCCACGTGCTGACTCACGAGGGGTCGCACGCCCACCAAGTTCCGGGAGAACGAGGGGACGTGAAACCCAGTGAGAGACCCAGAAGGAGCAGCCGGACACGGCAAGGTGGTAGTGTGACGCGCGGTGACTGGTCCCGAAGTGGGATCAGCCAGCGCCACAGAAACAGGCGCAGGAAGAGGCGTAAGTGTCGTGCTGTCACGAAAGAAGCAGTGAGAGGCTCCAGAGTCCAGCGTGAACGACAGCGAACCGTCCTCTGAGGTAGCCGCTGGACTAGAGTCTACACAAGAACCTACACTAGCAACAGGCAACTGAGCAAGGCTAGCACCTAAGCTAACAACACCAGAGTAAGCAGAGTCAGAAACACTAGAGTCAACAACAGCATACATAGCATGGGGAGTACCAATCAGATCAACTAACTGCTCAGCAGACATGCCCCACAGAGCGGAGCCGTAGCGCTGAACAAGAGGCAGCCAGTCAGGGGCAGGAGCACCAACCCCGTAGACCAAACGAACCGTGTCAGTGAGCTGAGCAAAGCACTGACCAGGGGGGTGAAACCGGCCACAAGGGTGGCCACGACGAGTGCCTGTCAGAACCTGGTAGGTGCAGGGAGTGTAAGCAGCACCGCGCTGGGTCTGACGCAGCCCCGACCCTGGAGCCAGCTGCTGCCGCTGCTGCTGCTGAGGCTGCTGGGAGGAGAGGGGCTGCTGCTGCTGCAGAAGCTGCTGCTGACGCTGAGCCTGGTACCACGCCGCTGCTCCACCAACCGGGGCAGGAAGTACAGGAGGCGACTGACGAACTCGGGCGTCGCCACCACCAGCAGGCGCAGTGGAGTCACCAGTCACTGCACGAGGCGCCTCTCCAGGCCCTGAACCTCCACCGCCGCCAGGCGCAACGCCACCTCCACTACCTCCGCCTCCACCTCCACTACCACCACCAGAACCGCCTTTCTTGCCACTCCTACCGCGGGACCGCGACGCAGTCGTAACAGCAGCTGCAGTCGCGTCAGTAGCGGCAGTGGCAAGTGAGGCAGTAAAGGTGGGTAACTGCGGGACTGTGCACCCGTGGAAGAGTGGGGGGGGCACAGCACCAGAGGCAGCGGCTACCGAGCGAAGGTTGCTCTCGACGTCCTTGAGTGCAGACTCAAGGACCTCGACGGTGAGCTCACTAGGGTGCTTCAGCAGAAGCGCGTCGCGAACGGAGGCAAGGCGGTCAGGGAGGCTAGTGGCGATGAAATAGATAGTAATCGCCATAGGGGGAGGAAGCAGTGCAAGCTGTGCCTCAGTGCAAGCAGCGCGGTAACTAGCGTCGAGCGAGCGGAGGTGAGCGATCAAGTCAGCAGAGCGCTCAAAAGACGCCAGGTCAGGAAACAGGAACGGGAGGAACAGGCGGCCAAGAGAGACAGCAGCGGGAGTAGAGTAGCGGGCCTTAATCGCAGTGAGGTACGCAGCAGCGGTGCGAACCTGAGTGAAGTGAACCTCCTCAGACTCAGGGAGGAGGCTGCTGAGCGCGATGCAGGCCGCAGCGTCACGTGACGTCCAAGCCGTCTGGTCAGCTCGCTGAGTGGCAAAGCGGGCTCTAGCGGCGTCGTCAGGGGCAGGTCCTAAAGGCGTAGGGTCGGGGGGCGCAGGTAGGGCACCAGTAGCGTGCGCCCAGAGGGACTCGCCTGCCTGGACCTGACTCTCTAACAGACGGCGAGCACGAAGAAGCCAGACGGAAAAATCAAGAGGTCTACCGTCAGCGTCGAAACGAAGGACACGCTGAGTCGCCATAGCGAAAACGAACGCGAACGGAGAGGGAGGGGACAGCAGTAGGTGAGAGGCAAATTAGGGTTCGGCGGTACTCTGGGACAGGGGAGGAGCGGACGCCACAGCGGGCGTGACAGCGGGAGGTAACAGGGGACTAAGCAGCGGAGAACGAGAACGGGCGCAGCGGCGGGCGATGGCAGCGCGTACGGCAGCAGGGGCCAGCAGCGCGCGCAGCGGGCGACGGCAGGGGGCGCAGCGGCGACGCGCGCAGCGGCGGGCGACGACGGCGGGGCCGCAGCGAGGCGCGCAGGGGGCGGGCGACGGCGGCAGGCGCGGCGGCGACGAGCGCGGTCGCGAGCGACAGCGGCGGGCGCTGCGGGACGGGCGACGCGACGGGGGGCGAGGGCAGGAGCGACGGGACAGGGGGAGGGCGACGTGACGGGGGGAAAGGGGCGGGTGCGACGGGACAGGGGGAATGCGACGTGACGGGGGGAAAGGGGCGGGTGCGACGGGACAGGGGGAAGGCGACACGACGGGGGGAAAGGGGGGGGCGCGACGGGACAGGGGGAAGGCGACACGACGGGGGGAAGGCGCGGACGCGACGCGACGGGGGGAGCGCGACGCGACAGGGGGAAAGGGACGGGCGCGACTCGAGGGGGGGGGAAGGCGACGCGACGGGGGGGGGGGGCGGGCTACGCTACGAACGAGAGCGTGGCTCGATGCTAGGCTCGGTAACAGCTGGAACGATACGAACGAGAGCGTGGCTCGGCGCTAGGCTCGGTAACAACGAGAAGGAGACGAACGAGAGCTAGGATCAGGCTCGGGTGGTACGAACGGAGAACGGCGGAACGGGATCCCACAGGATCCTAACCTAACTGATACCATGTCAAAATGAAGAATGGATGATGCATTGATGTTGGTTGGGGTACATATAGCTAACCCTAAGTTTTGTACCCCCTAAGACAAACCTCACTATAGGCTACAACATTTGACAATAACGATTGTAATAGGTTGCTTTGCAACCCAAAAAAAAAAAACTCAACATGCCTCGGGCCTTGCATGCTCAATTGTGATCAACCCATCTTCATCACAAATCCTAAGTGTTACCGCCTTGCCCCTACTCTCATGCCGCGGTATCCCCCCTAATCTTTCCTGAACGTCTAGATTCGTGCTCCCATTGATACTGCCAGTGCCCAGCAACTTCCCTCGCAGCTCCTTGAGCTCTTTCACAACGAGAGGCATGGCAGTGCGCATAGAGGCATTGGTAGCACAACAGCTGAGAGCGAGCTGGACAATGCGAGAGAACATGTCATCTGGAATGTCCATGTGCGGGTCCTTCAGCCTCTGCACCTCGCCACTGGATAGACAGTTGGTCACCTGCGACATACAACAGCACATGCATGCATCCAATAAGCGAGCTTAGAGTGTGCACAGAACGGGACGGCATGGCGACACCATGCAACACCACATCCACCACAGGCTCGCCGCAGTGCTAAGCCTCCGAAACAGCACCATCTCTACGGACCCCAAGCTTGACGCTGAACGGACGCAATGCATAGATACACGGCGTACAACCAGCGCAGAGTCTCTGAAACTGACCGCTTGCAGAGTGTTGGTTTGAAATTCATCCTCCAGCAGCACAGCTTGGCTGGCAACGGTGACGAGGATGAGCAGGCCGAAGCTGTACACATCACTGGCCGTGCTGGCGTGCATGGTCTCCGCGTAGCTTGGGTCTGTGAAGCTCACGACGCTGCTCTCACCCACCCTCACCACGCCCAGATTCGCCACCTTCGCCTGCAGTTGTAATGGTGGCGGCAAGGGGAACATGTAGTGGAATGTGGAGGGGCAGTCGGGGGAACAGGTGATGCGTGTGGTGAGGATGAGGGATGGAGGGATGGATAGATGGATGGACAGACGGACGGACGGACAGTTGGGCGGGTGGGTGGGTTGGGGGGTTAGCGGATGGATGGAGGCAAGGAGACATAAATAACTAGTCCGCAGATGGGGAAAGGATGGTGTGAAACCCTGTTGTTGGTCTGTCAGCCCCACCCCCAACAAAGACATGCATGAACAAGGCGGATGCAGGCAGATCACCTGCATGTTGGAGTCGAGCAGGATGTTGGCGGGCTTGATGTCGCGGTGCACGATGCCAAACTTGTGCAGATACGCCAGCCCCTTGGCCGCCCCCAGCAGGATGTGCAGCCGCTGCAGCAGCGTGAGCGGCGTGGCGCAGTCTGGGAGAGGAGAAGGGGGCGGGGGAGGGGTTGGGGCGGAGGGTGGGAAGGGAGCTGTGCTCAGGGTCGACGGCGAAAAGGAACAGAAACTGCTTTGCGAGGTGCCTAAAACGACGAAAAGTGACCGAAACTTAATTTTCTAGGCACCTCAAACGACAAAAAGGCGCAGAAATAGCACCGAAAGAAAGGCAGGAGAGGAGGACGAAGAAAAAAAATATCACTGATGCAGTGGCACGGGGTGGGGAGAAATGGGGAACGGGTGGGGGGATGGGGGTGCAGCGGAAAAAGGAAAAGGGGGTGCAGGGGGGAAGCGGAGGTGGCGGAGAGGGATCGGGCAAGGGTGGAGGTGGCGACGAGCGACGGGTACCTTCCCCGATCCACTCGTCCAGGCCGCCGTTTGGCAGCATCTTATAAACAAGAATCTTCTCCATGCGTGCGCCCGGTGAGCCATCCACCCCCCTGTCGACTCTCAACACACTCACCTTCTCCGATCCACTCGTCCAGGCCACCGTTGGGAAGCATCTCATAGACGAGAATCTGCTCCATGCGGGCGCCCGGAGAGCCATCCAGTGGCGGTGCCTTGCAGTACCCCAGTAACCGAGCCACGTTTGGGTGGCTCCTGGGCGACATCTGAGCTATCTGCCAGGTGGGGAGAAGGGGTGGAAGGGGAGGAGAGGAAAGGAGGATGGAATGTGAAGGGGAGGTGGGAAGGGAGCGATGTGACAGAGAGTGTGAGAAGGGAGAGTGATAGTTGATGGTATTGTGCAAGAGCGCAAGTGACAGCGTCAACAGCACAAGCACTGCCGCTCGTTCGCTCTCCTCCCCCTCAAAGCTGTTGCCGAGCGCTGTGAAAGCAGCCCTCACATCCCCACAGCACCACACTCCAACCCATTTCCTTATGGAAACAACTCCGGACCGCATCAGAAACCACATCACTGTATCCCACCAGCCCACCTCTCTCTGATAATCATTGCTGAGCACTTTGGCGCGCTTCACAGCCCACAGCGTGGTGCCATCGTGCGGGGACACCCCCCGGTACACGTCATGGAAGGCCCCTGCGCCTATGAGGCTGTCCCCTGACCAGTTGCCAGTGGCCCGGCACAGCTCGTCTGGAGAGAACTCCCTTGTTGGTATCACTCGCCTCTTGGCCGAACGCGATAGGCTTGACGAGCCTGCCATGCGGTGACGGGGTGGGAGAGAGAGAGGGGAGAGGATGGGAGAGGAGTGGGGAGGAGGGAGGAGAGAGGGAGGGGAGAGGAGAGAGAGGGCGCAGGAAGGAGGCGGGACGAAAGGTGGGGGGCGGAGGGGAGGAGAGCCGGTGGGGGGGAGTGGGGAGAGCCGATGGCGCGGGAGTGGGGGGGAGAGCCGGATGGGGCAGGTGTTTGAAGGTGGAAGTGCGAGGGAGGACGCAAGAAAGACATTGAAGTGGCGGAAACAACGAAAATGGAAGTGCAAGAGGCTAAAAATATGCACCAACTAAACACTCCCTACTGCATGATCCTTACACTCATACTATCTCCCCATCTTCCCACCTGACCCTGACCCTTCCCTCCCCCATCCTCCCACCTACATCCCGTCCCCCCTCCATCTTCTCCCCCCAACCTCCCCCTCCCTCTCCCCCCCTCACTCCATCCCCTCCCTCTTTTATTTCCACCCCAGTCCATACTGCTGGTGCGCGGCGGTTGCTGCTTCTGCCCCCCGCAGCGCCACCACACGACAGCAGCGAGCAGCATGACAGCAGCGACAGCGCCCACAATGGCCACAATGCCAATGCTAGACACGCCCGACTGCCGAAGAGGATCGTCGGGGGCCACAGGCGGGCCGGGAGGCGGCGGTAGGGGGTAGCCAGAGGAGGAGGAGGAGGAGGAGGAGGACTGGGAGTGCCCTGATGAGTTTGCTGGGATGGGGGTTTGCGGGAGCGGCTGAGGCTGGGGTTGGGGTTGAGGATGGGGATGGGGAAACGGCTGTGGCTGGGGCTGTGGGGACGGCCCTGAAGCTGGCGCTGGTGTTGGTGACAGCTCCTGTGGTGGCTGCTGTTGTGACGCTGGTGCTGGTGTTGATGCTGGTGCTGGTGATGGTGATGGTGTTGGTGATGGTGCTGGTGATGGTGCTGGTGCTGGTGCTGGTGTTGGTGATGGTGCTGGTGATGGTGCTGGTGATGGTGCTGGTGATGGTGCTGGTGATGGTGCTGGTGCTGGTGATGGTGCTGGTGATGGTGCTGGTGCTGGTGATGGTGCTGGTGATGGTGCTGGTGCTGGTGATGGTGCTGGTGATGGTGCTGGTGATGGTGCTGGTGATGGTGCTGGTGCTGGTGATGGTGCTGGTGATGGTGCTGGTGATGGTGCTGGTGCTGGTGATGGTGCTGGTGATGGTGATGTTAGGGGGGTTGGAAGAGGGGAGGGTGCAGGAGGAGGGCGGCAGGAGGAGCAGAAGGCCGTGCAGAGGCGGCAAAAGGCGGAGGAGCGAGGAGGGCGGGATCGGCAGGAGGAGGAGGCGGGAGGACAGGAGATGCGTGTGTCTGATATATTCCTTTAGAAAGGGCACAGAGGGGAAGAAAGGGGGTTGCAGGGGGGTGAGAGGGAGGGAGAACGGGAGAGATATGAAGGGGGAATGTAACGGGGACGATTTGAGTTGCGAACGGGGGAGGTTCAGGGGAATGAAGATCGGATCGAATCAGCCAGTTTGCTTCCATGACTGTAGAGGACTAGTCACAGGTGCTGAAGCATCAGGAGAACCGATGTGGCATGGAGAGTGATGGGAGCAGATGATTGGTGGCATGGTGTGAACGGACTGACACAGGGAAGAACGAAGGGAGAAAAGCGTGTCAGGGGGGCGGGGGAGGGGGGGGGGGGGGGGAACGGAAAGAGGAGTTGGAGCAGGAGGTTGAGAAGGAAGGGCGAGTGGCGAGGGGAGAAGTTTGTGGGGGGTGGGGAATGGCGTTGGTGGTTGAGAGGAGAGGAACGGCGAGGGGAGGAATGAATGATGTGATGGAGGAAGCATACAGGAACTTGAGCCTGGAGAGAGAGGCGAGAGACGATGGCACAGATCCTGACAACTGATTATTGTGCGACAGGTCCCTGTATCAAACGTGCCATGCAGTACCACACCATGCCATGCCATGCCATCCATTTCATGTCATGACATCATGCGGCGCCATGTTTTGGTTTGGAAAATAAGGAGGGAGGGGCAGCAAGTGATGGCCTTGGGGCAAGATGGGCTGAGGTGGTCCATGTGTGCGATGACAGGTGTGTGATTCCAGTGGACATGCAGACAAAAGGATGCAACAGAGAGAGTGTGAGATCGAGAAAGAGAAACATGGACGAACATGATGGGAGGGAGGGGAAAGATGGGAGGGAGGGGAGAGGGGTGCAGGAGAGGGAGAGAGGGAACATACAAGAGACGGAGAAGGTTAAGCAGGAAGATAGAAAAAACAGGTAGAAACTGGAGTAGATGTTGAAGGAAGTTTGTGACTCACAGTAGTGTGAGGTCAGTGAGGCGCTGTAACAGAGGCGATGGGATGGGTCCACTCAAGCGGTTGCTACTCAGATTGCTGATGTTATGCCATGCCATTCCATACCATCCATGCCATCCATACCACCCCATATCATCCCATGATCCATTCCACGTTACCCCATGGCTTGCCATGTCATTCCATGGCATTCCCCCCATGTCATGCCATGATAATCCACAATGTGTGTGTGCAAGGAACACAGGAGGGGAGTGCATGGCGGATAAGCTCTGGGGTCATCAAACGCATGCATGACATAGCATAGCAGATGAAAGGGGCTATGGCGCTATATTCTGCCCGCAGAGGGGTCATTCACTACGTAGGAGACAAGTACAAAGCGGAGAATTACAGCCTGCAGAGGGGCTCACAGGGTGCGTAGTCTGTCAAGCTGTTGCAGGGATTTAGGTATGCTCCCTGACAGGTTATTGCTGCTCAAATCACTGCTTCCACACACACACACACGCGCGCGTGCACGCACACACACACACACACACACACACAAACACACACACACACACACACACACACACACACACACACACACACACACACACACACATGAATGAATCTTCCAGCACAGGATGTCATGCAGCTAGTCTGAGTGGGGTGTCCCATGAGCTGAGGTGCGGTGCTCTCCAAGTGAGGTGTCTACAGACGCTATGCTTCCTCCAAGTGCTGTGCCACGTCTTTTGAGACGTCTCAAAGTCATGCGGCTAGACCGAGTGGAGTGCCCCATGAGCTGAGGTGCGGTGCGGTCTCCAAGTGAGGTGTGTACAGGCACTGTGCTTCCTCTGAGTGCTGCCCACGTCCCTCCCTGCAACCCCCAACAGCAATGCACGAGACCAGATGGCTGGCGTAGCAGGACTGCATGACAGGTGGTGGTTGGGTGGGTGGATGGATGGCTGATGGATGGACGGATGGATGGCGGATGGACGGACGGAGTTATGGACGGATGGACGGGTGAATGGACGGATGATTGGATGGATGGATGAGGTTTAGTCATACAGTGCATCAAGGAGTGTTAGAGAGCCGAGAATAGACGGGATGGAGCCTGCCAGCTCACAGTAGGTGATAGATCTGCACACACACACACACACACACACACACACACACAACACAACACACACACACACACCCCACAAACACACACACACAGAATACAGCATGGGGGTGAGCAAGGTGAAGAAGAGAATAGAGCGTTGCAATGGAGTTGAGTGAATAAGAGAATTGACGTAAACTGCAATTGCGCAAGAGGAGGACCGATGAATTGCGCATGTGAGGTACGGAAAGGCATGGCGGAGGAAGATTCCATAGGTCCGTTCACACGACAGCATAGAAACGGGTAGAATGGCATCCACGAAAGCAAGCAACATCAAAAAGCCCTAGTCGATGCAGGTGAACTGACATTTGTGTGAGTTGTGTTAGGTTGCCGATAGCCACTGGTATAGAGCCCAGAGAGCGGCCTTGGGACGCCAACCTCCTGCCATGGCAGCACATGCATGCATGTCCACGGGGGACATGGTATGGCACGATGATTAGACCATGGCACATGGCACACAGGAGATCGCCGGGGAGAGAAGTATGGTGTGAGGGAGGAGGGCGAGACGTGGTCATGGGCCTCATGGCATGGGAATGAGGGGTGGTGGGAATGACGGATGAGAGAGAATACAAGTCAGAAAAAGAGGGACGGAAGAGAGGAAACGGAGAACGAGGGGTTTGGGAGAGGAGGACCTAGGAAAGGAAGGATGGATGGGGAGAGGTGGGAATGGGGAGAGAGAAACAGCTGAGGCAAGAGCATTACAGCATGCATGGTATGTGAGGGCGTGGGCTCTCACATGGAAGTGATCATGCCGTCGACATCGCATGTGAGGCCATGCGCCTCTGCACAACCATCATGCTGCCTCCATCCATCAAACGTTGCGCCCCACTGCCGCTCAAAATCCGTCAACACTCTCACTGCACGCATGCACGCACGCGCACACACGCACGCACGCACACGCTCACGCATGCATGAGCGCGTGCACACACACACACACACACACACACACACACACACACACACACACACACACACACACACACACACACACACACACACACATTTTCAAGAAACGGTCCGACGAACGAGAGCCAACGGTGCTGGAACCCTCGGGAATTTACGCAGGCTGGGGATCCCTAGGGTCTGGCGCACGCATTGGACTCCTGGGGCCTGACGCGAGTGGGAAATCCCTAGGTCTCAACACAATCTTGGAAATTCCGAAATCTGACGAGAATATGAAACTTCGAGGGTTTGATTCGGATGGCATAAAAAGCTTGCACTCTGAATGACGCACGGCAGTCTCGCTGTCCTCTCAAGCTACGATTATTGCGATCCTACTTCCTCACCTTGCGACGGTGCTATGGTCTGCGCGTCAACGCCGCCGCCGCCACCGTTGCCGCCAGTGCCCGCCGGCACGCGAGACGGCACGGAAGCTGCGACCATGAGCGTTGCCAGTAAAATTCCAAAGCGACCCGGCCGAGGGATGCACAGCGTATTCTTAAACGGACGCGACACGCTTCCAACGGTTATCAGCTGTAGCAGCTGCAGAGGAGAGCGCAAGAGAGAGAGAGCTGTTGAAAAGGTCGATTGCAATCGACACTCGAGGCAATGTTGATGATGCTGTT